TAAACCAACATAACATTAAATAAAACTCATAAAAAATGTACAGACGGATCTGGAGATCTTATCTCCTCCAAGCTAACAAGGCCAACAAACAGAACAAACAACTAAGAACTAAAAGGAAAACCACAACACAACCAAGTATTTCAGTCATTCCTTGAGAGCTCCTATCAACCACTTGCTGCTCCTCCCACCACTCTTTATTGAACTTCCATGAATTCCTAGTCTTCCGCAGCTACCATAGCATGTAGGTGGAAAGACTCATTATTTTAGTGATGTTTGAGGCTAAGAAATGTACATTAAGTTCATCCATAGTGCATATTTATTATATTTAAATTAAATATGTACATAATGCATATTTAGTTCATCTATAGTGCATTTTTAGTTCATACGAAATGCATATTTAGATCATAAAAAATGCATATTTAATATATTTAAATCAATTACATACATAATGCATTTTAGTTCATGTGAGGTCCAACCATAGTTATTTATTTGTGTAGATCAATGACTCATATTAATCAATTAGAATTTACATTAATTAAACAACAAAATATAATAGTTATTATATGCTCATTTAGCTCATATGTAGTGCATACTTAGTTCATAAACAGTGTATACTGCGTTGATATTATTTGTGCATATTGAGTACATAAGAATTACATATGCAATTCATACCAAATGCATAGTTAGTTCATATTAAGTGCATACTGCTGAATATATATTTACTTCATACATAATGCATACCACGTCAATGGGTCAACGTCGGAAGTCAACAGTCGCCAGAAATCAACGATCAACGGTCAAATGGTCTAAAAATGATATTTAAATAATTAAAATAAAAAATAAAAGGTTCAATCTTGAACACGTCTTGATACCAATCAAATTCATTTCAAATTATAATTTTTTATATTTATATAGTTTATTCATTTTTTTGTATTATTTATAATTTGAAATGATAATAAAAAATGTGCAACAAGCCAACGCACGTGGTCAAATTAAAAACTATATATATATACACGACTTTTATTCATAAGTTCCCTTATGCCTACAGAGACTGATTATTTAGCCGCCATATTACAATTTAATGTTTTCTTGCTTCATGATAAATAATCAAAGTGTAGCAGAAGGGTTTACTGTGGTCGGCAAGCTCCCATCATAACTACACTGCGGGAGGCCTCCATTCCTCACGACACGTGGTCCGACGGGCACATCCGAGGTTTTGGGACGAATATCCTGCATTAGTACAAAAATTAATGAATGAAGCTCTAAATTTCATTACCAAAAATAGAAAAAGATCTGGAAAAATAATTTTATTTCATGTGTTTTTAGAGTTAATTTGTAAATCATATGATCTAAGCTGTGTTTGTATGGTAGACAAGTAAGCTAGCTTATAGCTTATAGTTTATTTGTTTAGCTTATATGATTCTTCTATTTAAATATAGTTTCGTTTGGTAGGACGGTTTATTTAAAAAGCTCGAGCTTATCTCATAAGCTTCTATGGGTAACTTTTCAAATAAGCTCGTTGAAATTTTTATTTCAGCTAGCTTATCAGCTAATTTTACCAAACACTAATTTTATAATATAAGTTAACTTTTCAGCTATAAGTTATGAGCTATAAGCTATAAACTTGAAAACTAAACTACTGATAAACAATAAGCTAACTTATCAGCTAGTTTTACTAAACATAGCCTTAGTTGTTTAGCCTTAGTGTTAGATATTGAATTACTTGGTCAAATATGGCAATCGGGACAGCAAGTGTAGCGACGGCATTGGGTGAATCGACTATTCCCGAGATCCTTCCTTCACACGGGCAGCACGACAACAGAAGGTAAACCTGGATTTATTATCATTATTTCGAAAAAGAAAATAAAATTATAATGTTAGACGAAATAAAATTTGACATCAACAATAAATAAATAAATAAATAAATAAATTAGTTAGTTAACTTGTTCTTTGGAGTATCCGAATTTGGAAATGTAGTCGATGGCATTGAGAACCGCGCGCTTGTACGCCACGCTGGCGTCGAGGTAGTGCTGCCGCCCGCTCTCGTCCACACTGATTCCCTCAAACACCAACCACTCGGAGAATCTGGGCTCGACGGGCCCTGTCTCGAATATTGGGTTCACGTGCAAATGGGTCGGGCCCATTGGGGTGAGGTACTTTTTCATGCCATCCCTTATGATCTCACACCTGAGGTAATTAGATTGTTCCAAAAGTTAATATTTTAATTTTTGCGGTTCGGCCGATGTGCTTTTTGAACTATTTTTTAGAGGATGGTCGATTTTGGTTCGATTTTTTTTTTAGGTATATTTGAAAGGGATGATGAAAGAAAATGTTCGGAAGCTTACTTGATCTCGAGAAAGCCACTCATCTCGATGGCGCCACAAAATGTGACTTCACCGTCGCCTTGTGAGAAATGCATGTCCCCCGTGCTAAGGTTTGCGCCCTCCACAAAAACGGGAAGGTAAACTTTCGAGCCTCTGCTTAGATTCTTGATGTCGCAATTCCCTCCATTTTCTCGTCCGGGTATTGTCCGAGCAGCCTCTCTCGCTATTCTTTCCCATTCCGAAGTTCCTTCTTTAATCTACAAACGCGTTAAGTTAAATAAAAATAGTCGTGAAACGAAGATTGTCTTTACTCACAACAAAAGAATGCTTTTTTTTTTTTAGTTCATTGACTTTCCAAGTTCTTTAATCTACAAACGCGTTAAGTTAAATAAAAATAGTCGTAAAACGAAGTTGCTCCAAACGAGCAAAAAAAAAATCTCCACTATAAAAATTAAAATCGTGCCTACACTTGTATTAGTGTGTTTAAGTTTTTCTCGTGTATACCTTGCCAAGAACACACCCTTTGGTCGATGGGAGGTTTGCAAGCGGCCTCGAATGTAGAACTTCGCATAATTTGAGAGATTCGAGACCGGTTTCTTCAAGCTCCCTTTCCCTTTTGTTCCATATGCTTAGTAATTCCATTGAAGGTGCGGTTCCTACTATTCCCGGGTGTGTCAAACCCGGGAATCTTACACCTGTGGTCGATTAAGCGTTAGCAACTTTCTATTTCATTCAATTTTTCTTACGATGTTTAACTCCCTACTATTCCCGAGAAATTCATGTTCGAGATGAATGACATGTGTGCATGAGTGATGAATTGATGTTTTTGGTCTTTTACGCTATAAAAGTTTTCGGAGCTAGTTCGATTTCGACTGGTTTTTATAATTTTGACGAAATATCTTGATCTCGATCGGCCAATAATGCGTAAAATTGACGATTTTAGTGGATTTAAGCAAAAAAATTAATGTCACATAAAAAAATGTCCATTGCTGGTTAAGTCAATAGAATCTCCAAATTTCTTGATGTAGCTACTACTCCACATAGGTCATATCAATACTAATATTAGTCCAATTACACAATTCTTCTCAAGATTAGACTAGCTAAATACTACACCAAGAAGTATATTGGATCAAAGTTTAAAAGTAACTTCTTAGAAAAATATCATATTTCCCACATCACAAAAATTAGTTTCTAAACTTTTTGCACAACAACAACAACAATAATAATAATTACCAGGTATATGAGGAGAGTAGGCATATATCCCTTCAAAATACCAAATTGCTTTGGTTGCACAAGGAAAATGGTCGGTCAGAAATCCACCACCATTCTCCCGGTCAAATATTGCAGTGAAGCCCCATTCATGGCCCGGCAGTGGGCCCAGATTGCAAATTTCCACAACCAAAATATCTCCGGGCTGGGCTGGTTTACCGTCCGTGTCCACAACTCTAATAGGCCCACTTAGATAATGAACCTGATACATACGTACAAATTACAATCATAAGTATTAATTTACTACTAATTACTCCAGATCTGGGAAAATATTCATTCATCAGGAAATCAGATACACTAATTCCTTAACTCAGGCAAAATAATACATGTCACTGTTTAGGGATAAGGTGTATTTCTTTGCTTACTGATTTATATTATATGCAATAACGCTATTCCATCCTAACGATTAAATGAACATATATATTTTTGCGATAAATATAAATATTGAATTTCAAATTGAAACGTAATACTTTAAAATAATAAGGATATAATATTTCATTATATAAGTATATATATTTGTTACAAATATATAATGAGTCGATACGACTAACGGTTAAGCCAAACTCACCCTATAATTTGTAAAATCATGTCATGGTACAAATTTATAACAACTTTTTTCAATCGATTTATATTATATTTATTAAGTGTAATGTTAGATAGACCTAACAATTACGCGGCAATATATTTTCCATGAAAATATATGTATACTAATATACATGTGTACTTTCAAACTGATCAAACGAGATACTCTAAAAAAAAATGTAAATAAAAATATAATATTTCATAACATAATTTAAATGTATACCCACTTAACAATTAAGTTGATGGTACAAGAATTTGTAATATTATACACATATATTGGTGAACTTGAACTTAAGAGTATGCACTTACAATTGAAAGGTCTAAGGTTTTTACATCGAGTGCAGATTCATCATCGGAAATGGCCCTACCTGTCCAGTCGGCCATCTCCACCCGAAAAACCTCGCCGGATTTCACCTCGGCCACCGGAGGTATCTCTGGGTGCCACCGGTTGTGGGGCGGTGGGTTTTGGTGCCATGGACTTCTCTTGAGGTCTATGGGAATTACTAATCTTGGAGTTGGAGGGGCCATATATGTGGATTTTGATTTAGGTGATGGTTTTTGGGTATTCAGTGTTTTTGACCTTAAAATTTTATTTCAATGTATATAGTTCTAGTGTGTGTGAGACACCATATTGCTTAATATTCAAATTTATTTCATTTTTATTTAATTTTATTTTTTTAAGGGAAGACTTGAACAAGGAAATTGTAAAACAATAAAAGAGATATGTGGAAGTTTGATTTGGACATGTTTACTAGATGACAAATGAGGAGGCCAGCTTTAATTGGAAGTTCACTTTGAAGTAATTGTCTTCACCAAGCATGCAGGGACAATTATACAAAATATTTTTATTTTAATTTATTTTATATGAAAATATTTCTTTTTACATATGTATATTTTATTTGATGATATAAATTTAGATTTATTTCTTATTTTTAAATGAATATTAATTAATGATTTTATATTTTAATTTATTTAGATGGAAATAATTATTTTTTGTTTTGGACGGTCATTCCTCCACAAAAAGCAGAAAAGGAAAAGAAAAAAAAAATGTTTTTCCTATCCAAAACTTTTTCCATTATAATATGAGATTTTCTTTATGATAATACTAATCCCATGTCCAGATCTATATATCCGATCTATTTCCCATATATATAAAATCTCTATTAATATTTGAGAAAATTTCAAAACAATTACATTGAGCAAGACTAAATTTATTATATTTATATATAACTCACGACTAAATTGACCTAATGTCAAAAATTTTTGTAATTTCAAATTTGTAATTGTAGAGATGCATTTATATACCCATATTTCCATGATTCTACATACTTTTACATTGTTTCAATGAGACTTATGGTAAGATTCTACAATTTATTTATCCTTTTTAAGGAAGAATTTTCAAGATATCTCCAAAATTCTTGATCTGGATTGGTTTACTAGCTGAACGGTGAGGCCATTTTTTCCAATGTATGGTCCCAATTGCTCTTCTGGCAAATGATTTCGAAATTTTGGAAGTTTCTTTTAAAGCAATGAGTCATCAATTTTAAGGGTGATAAGGATGAAGCATTTCATTAA